GTTTCCCAAGGTGAAAGTAGTGAAAGGGGCAATGGAAGCAGGTGTATTGATTCATATTGAATGAGTAGCTTCTCATGCTCATTGCGTAATTTGTTCATTTCAAGCATCTTTGATTCAGTTTGAAGGAGGATCAGTGGAGATAATGTCAGATGATAAAGGTTAGGTTTGACGTGGAGATACATCCAATGAATTTTGATCAGATTTTCGTTAAATCTTCGGAGCACGAAAAATGCTCAGTTGTCTTTTTCCCCCGACTTTGACATGTCCATCATGAAGCAAGAATCTGGCAATGTTCTCCATGGTCGGGATACATAATTTAAAATTATCGGATTCAGAAATCCGATGAATATATGAAATCAAAATTGAAGGACACCACATGGAATTGGCAAGAAGGAGCTCGCAATGCTTCAAATCTGGTGTGCGACAAGAGCGATACGTCTCTGCGTGTTGCAGCAGCACCGACACGTGTATACTATATATGGGGCGCAATGAAGAGGGGGAGGGGCGTCGAAAAAGTTTCACGAGGAGGGTGGCGGCACTTTTGAGCATGTTCAGCGCTCCGAAGGGAGCCGAATCTGGGCTCGAAAACACATGTACGTACGTAACTTTTCACGTAGAATCCGATGGTAAAGTCAGAATTTTCATCAAGCCAACGGTTCAGGAGATAAAGACGAGAAAATGGCGAAAAGTTAGGGTCTGGAGTAGAACAACTCCATTTTTACCCCGAAGGAGGGAAAACTCGCAAGGTTTTTTTGCTGTTTTTGATAGTTCCTGATGTGTAGGAATGGTTTTTGTCAAAAAATAAAAAAATTAAAGGCACATATGATTTTCAAATTATTGTGACCGCATTTTCGTGTCGGGACTCTCGGGACCCAATACCGTAGTCATGGAAATTCCAATATGTCTGGCCTAAACGGTGACTTTTTCGGACCAGTCAGTCAGTCGGTCACATTTACCTCACTGCCGCAAAATCTTTTAGAAGTCATTTACCTCAGTGAGGTAATTGCACTTGCTCTTCCTCTTTTGGAAGTCATTTACCTCAGTGAAGCCTAATGCTTTCTTTTTTACAGAATATGGCAAAGTATGCCAACTCAAAATGGCACCGGACCCGGGAATACGTGTCATTTTTCCTCTCGTTTCGGTTTTCAACCCAGATGAACGGTTGCCAACCGTTCATCGGTTCACCTTGAACGGCTGCCAACTGAAAACTTCTGTAACTCTGGACACTATTTTTAAAGGGACACTTAATTATGTGACCGCATGTTCGTTCCAGGACCCAATCAAGGATACTGTAGTCTTACTGTATTCACAATTTGGCTGGCCTAAAACACGTCTGTAATCCTGGCCGTCCTCCGGATTCTTTGTTTTATTTCTCGGCATCTTGCATTTGAACGGTTGCCAACCGTTTGCTCTTATTTTCCTGGGAACGGTTGCCAACCGTTTGCTCTTGTTTTCCTGGGAACGGTTGCCAACCGTTTGCTCTTGTTTTTCTGGGAACGGTTGCCAACCGTTCATTGCGTTACCCTAAACGGTTGCCAACCGTTCTTCCACATTGCCATATATTTGAACACATGAATTTACAGTTAAACATGTCAAGTCCCGATGCGCGTTCGTCCATCGAAGATGGGTCACGTTCTTCAAGAAGCCCATCACCTAACCGTTCTCACCATTCCTCCAAGTCGTCTCGTGATAGTTCCAGCCGCTCTTCCAGCAGATCTTCAACTGATTCTCGTAGAGCTTCACGCTCAAACTCACGTGGATCACGCTCATCATCACGTGATTCACGTGCATCATCAAATGGCGGAACTACTCGTCCTTCGTCACAACTGTCGTCTCGCTCGGGTGCTTCTAGTCAAACTTCTCAAAAAGGATCAACGTTAGATCAGCAGGTATTGAAAAAGAAATAGTGTCAGAATACTGTATTCCGAGTTAGACAAGTGTGAATTGAACGGTTGACAACCGTTCGCCTCTCTGGCCTAAACGGTTGGCAACCGTTCGCTTCTCTCGCCTAAACGGTTGACAACCGTTCTCCCCATCCGGTCCGATCGGTTGGCAACCGTTAGTCTATCTGAGTCAAGCACTTGATTGGAACGGTTGGCAACCGTTCACAATCCTTCGTGACTGGCCGGAATGGTTAAAAATGACACGTCCATAAGAACGCAAGTTGATAACATGCTACTTTCAGATCTCTAGACACCAGAAAGTGGAAAAAGAAAAGTCCAACGGCATGGACATCCCGTCAGCTTTAGGGGAACCATCGAATCGTCCGAACTCGACGGCATCTGCTACTGAGAAAGCGCCAAGTACTTCCAGAAAACGACGAAGCATGGTGGTCGATGAGATTCCTTTCCCGGAAGAACCGGTTATTGATAACCCTCTGCAGGTTAGTAATAAGTCTCAGAAAAACACATGTAGCAGGTGAACTCTGTTTCAGGAGACAAACTCTTCGCTGACTGCTTCCTTGATCCAGAACTTAGATGTCCGCGGTGCCATTTTCCGTGGATTGAAGTCGACGGTGGTTGCAAAACTCAACGAACGCTCTCTTCCTGAATTATTCAACGAGAATCAAGCAGGCACTCCTGTGATTTTTGCGAAGTCGACTGATGACATTTCCTCTATTGTTGTTGTCGAAGGCACGCATCGTTTTTCATCAATTCGAAGTAGACTTCTCAACAAAAGCGAGTTGGAGACTAACATTGCCGTGAAGATAGTCGTGGTTTCCGCTGCTGAATTCGATGATATTTGGAGAGTTGCTCATCCAATCACATATATTGCGGGGGTCGACTCCAAGGAAAAAGCGCACCTTGAGAAACTTCCAGTTAGAGTCACCCGATTCCTCAGAAAGACATTCTCGAATGAATCCATGCGAACAAAGGGAGCGTATGACGAATACACAAAAGCACGCAACCAGTACGAATTCCTGTGTTCACGCTTTGACAAAGCTTATAGATCCGTTCTTCGTGAGAATGCCAGATATCATCATCTTGTTATGAAAATGTTGTTCGAAGAGAAGCTGATCACTAAGCAATCTCAAGCTGAATCTGAACTATCTGGTTTTTATGCGTACCTTATGAGCTCTGAAGTCAGAGAATTGTTTTTCAACAGCTTCGAAGAATTGCCAGCAATGAACAAAAGCCATTCTCTCATATATAGAGCGTCGAAATATCACGAAGAAACTGTTATTGCGTGGATCAAGGAACGAACGGGACCGAATAGCAAGTTATTTCCGAAGAGCCTGATGATGAGGAAGATGCAACAATTATTGAAACGAGAAGAAGCTAACGATGTGAACAAGTTCAATGCAAATGATAAGTCGGACGAGAAGTGTTTGCATGATGAGGACGAGACTGATGAAGGAGCACCGAAAGCGAAAAAGGCACGGAAGCCAACAAGTGAGGAGAAGGAGGAGCGCGCGCCAACAACTGGAACAGGACTCCAAGTGCTCAAACATGTTAACCAAGTCCCTGCAAATGCAGTTCTTGTTGTTCAAGGCAAAGTGAGTTGCAAAGAAATAAGTTTGAGTTGAAAACGGTTGCCAACCGTTGCCCTACTCTTATCTTCACAGTTTCCAATCAAAATGTTACTTTCAGGTACCGTCGGTGAACGAACTCGTAGGAAAGGGAGTCTCTGTCGTCATCATCAACCCGATAGAAACAGTCTCCACATTTAAGGACATGTGCAAAATTGCAGAATCTTCCTCGGTTCTCCGTTGCGGAGAATATTTCAAGAAAACTTTTGTGGCTGCCGGACCACTGATCAAGACGGGAAATGCGGGTAGTCGTCTATCTGCGTCAACGATCCCAACACTGCTTGTCAAACTGACGGATGGGGAAGCATCCAGAGCACGTACACCGAAGATGCGCTGCTACACCATCCTTGATCTCCAACCGACTTTTTGAAAGTCCTAGTTCTTGTTAAATCTTTGTTTTTTCTGGTTTTCTCTCTATTGTTTTCGGTTTATTGATTTTTGTAAGTTAATCGTTGTTCGTTCACTTTTTTGTTATCCCCCGTTTTGTTTCTCACATTTAATGTCCCCCCGTTACCACTCATTTGTTGTTGATGCCTCCCCCGTAGGTTAAGTAGACCGCTGGAATTAGACTTAGAGTCGCCTGCCGGAAGTGCCGGTTCAAATCCGGCCGGGGGAGGGCATCGTAATTGAATAAATATTAAAAAAAAAAGACTTTCCAATATCTCAATAGGGAAGACGAATACAAGACTAGAAATTCTTGTTAGAATGTTAGAAGTGAAAAAATGGTACTAAATATACTTTTTTTCATACTCCCAGAAGAAAAAACTTACATCGAACCTGGCTGGATTGATTCGGTAACAGTAGGCTCAGGCGCAGGCTTCTGCCTGCGCCATTTGGGCTGATTAGGCTTAGAGCTAGGAACTCTAGGCTTAAGATCCCACATGAATTTTCATTCTGTCCAGTGGACCGATTCGCTTTGCTGTTTTGTTTTGGTTATGGGTGTTCTCGCCTAATTTGTCCGTAAAAATTACCTTTTTCAAAGGTGCAAGTCGTTTCATGGACGCATCTTCGTGCCGAGACCCATCTGGGAGTACGGTAGCGATACTGTAGTTGTGATTTGTTCAGCCTAAAATATCAGTTTACTCTTCAGTTTTTATTGTGTCCTCTCACAAAGTGATTCTTTTAAACTTTTACTTATTAACAAACATGTACCTTTTTTAAAGGTACATGTAGTTTCGTGGTCGCGTTGTCGTGTCGAGACCCAACTGGGAGTACGGTAGTCATACTGTAGTTACGATTAGATAGGCCTAAAATGTCATTCTACTCTGCTGCTTCTGTTCTCGATCTTATTACCTTGAGGTTTGCCCGTAAAACTTCGGTGTTGGTGAAGTCGATTGTTTTTTTACCTTCCTATATTCGCAGTTCATCTGTGCCTTGTCTGATTCACATATGTTTTTTGGGGCGGGTCTTGTCCGATGAGTGAACTAAACGGTTGTCAACCGTGTTTTTCATGACTAATCACACGTAACCAATAATCAGAAACCATTTCGTGTTACACTGTAAACGGTTGCCAACCGTTTATTGATTTACTCTAAACAGTAAAAAAATCTTTGATTAACCCCCTAAACGGTTGCCAACCGTCCATTCTTTAGTCCTAAGTGGTTACTAACTGCAGGGTGTGAAACGGTTGGCAACCGCTTCCATCTTGAGGGTCCTCATTTGCTCTCTCCAACGGTTTACAACCGTTTTGTTGTTCTTTCCTCTGATTGATAATATGTTCTACCTCTTTTTTTTTGTAGAACTGACCTTTTTTAAGGTACAGGTTGTTTTATGAACGGTTGCCAACCGTTCATTTTAAACGGTTGCCAACCGTTCATTTTAAGCGGTTGCCAACCGTTCATTTTATGACTGACCACACTGAATGGATAATAGGAAACACTTTCCTTTAATGCTGTAAACAGTTGCCAATCGTTTGATGATTCACTCTAAACGGTTAGCAGCCGTTGGGGGCTGTAGCAAAACGGTTGGCAACCGTTTATCACGCAACAATCGACGTGAAATTTAGATTTATCCTATACGCCATGTTCATTCAGGCATTCCTTCCCATAAACATGGAAGATGTGAACAAGAACGGTTTTATCGTCAAAAAAATTTCACCGTTTTCTGTGTCATCGTCCTCCAGTGAATCGACAGACTGGTGTTCCCGTGCCAACAAATCACCTTCATGTAGTACAACAGACACGATTAGTACTCCGAAAAGTTTTTGGTGTTATATAGACAATGATAGTTAAAATAGTGATTCTAGAATCCATACTTACCCGCCTACCTCTTTCCTCCACAAGAGCCGATTGGAATCTTTCATACGTTTATCGATTTTGCAAACCAGTCTATTGTGATTTTGAAATCCGGCAAGTATGTGAAGTAGGAGGGAATTGTGCATCGGGTGAATCTCGATAACAAAATGACTTTGAGCAAGTTGATCGTTCCTGAAATTGATGAAGCTTCTAAAAATGATGATGTTCCTGAAAATGATTTCTGTATAACACTGATATTTTCTGTCAAATTTATTGATTTGTCTTCTCTTTATTTTGCATTGCTGTCCACGCTGGAAATATTTTGTTTCTGGTTTTCGAGCTCCTTTTTTATCGATTTTTCCAGATGCCCGACTCCCAAATCCGAATCTTCCCAAAATACGAGTACACTGTCACATGTGAGGAGCAAGACAGTCAAAAAATCAGTGTGGTCCGTCACTATGGAGCAATCTTGGTCGATGGGGTGCTCACGAAGCTCTACTCGAACCTCTCTTACGCCCCAATCCCAACTGGAGACTACTTTTTGATCGATCAACACCAAATCGAAAAATGGCGAGAGAATGAGACGAAACATGAGAGCGATGTGATAAGTTTTGAGACTTTTTCGGTCAGTTTTCTCTTTTTTTCTAATCGATAATCGATCCTGAACTTGGGGATTTTCAGGATTTGTACATGGAGACGTTCTACATTCGTCTATTGCCACTTGGTGGTCCAGGAGAGCAGAAGATTCTGGCGGATGAGGTGTTGAGATTGATTCCGGCGGTGTTGAAGAAGCAAGGGAAGGATGTCGATCAAGGTATGGTACTGGGCTACTACAAGCGGCAAGCTAATGGAGTTGTACGGCAACTTGCCGTTCCGATTGCCCTCTTTTTTTACTAGCTTGCCGCTAGAAGGACATATAGTGGCAATAATCTCGGAGCTGGTTTTTTCAAAAGAAAGATGCCCCGGATCAAAACTAAGCTAACGAAAACTCTGCCCCAATTGCTTGCTAAATGCCTACGGCAAGCAAAAGGCATGTTGCTCAGCACTAGGCAAGCAAACAGCAAGTTGCTGTTGCGACAAATTGACGTTTTTTTCGGGCAGCTTGCCCAATTTTGTGGCAATTTGCCGCTTTTGCTGGCAACTTGCCGAAAAATTGTCGCTGACAAACTGGCAAGCTTGCCGAAATTTCCCTAATCAAATTTGTGACCTTCCGAGAGTCTGGATAATTCATTTTTCCATTTTTCAGCCCTTCTCGTCAAGTACCGTGAGACCTGGAGCGCTCCTGACAACTTCTACCGGACAATCAGCCTGGATGAGCTCAACGACGTCCTTGATGATTTTCAGATTGACAAAACCAAAATCACGGTACGTCTTTTCCCTTCTTCTGACTTTTCTGACCTGACCTTTTTCATTTTCAGGCTGTTCCGGACATTGCCCTCATCATATCCCAAGACGAGATGCTCAAAAAGTGTACGCGGCCAGTGCAAACCTATGACATTCAAGGGAATGAGATCATATCGGCGGCTCCTGAACCAGAATCAACAGTGGATATGATTCCAAAAGGGTTTCGCTTACTCTACTTACCCTTTCTTTGTTTATTAGAAATCAGAGATATGATGGATTTGTTCGAGAGGTAAGAAGTTGTACAATGGGATTACCTTTCGGATTTATACTTGCTATTTTCAGAGTCACCTGTTTAGCAGTTTCGGAGCGACTATTGTTCATGGCTAAAAGGAAAGGTGGATTTGAGGCGCCAAAAATTACACTCGATCTGTATGAGACAATGAAGATAACCGCCAATGAAATGATGATCACTATCGAATACGATAAGGAAACACCGTATCTCACAGTAGAGTTCGATAATGATTATTCTGATGCAGTCCCAATCGACAACACTGGGGATGTCCAGTTGTGGATTGAATCCTTTCTACGAGTCGTTCAAGCATCAGAAGTCGAAATCAACATATTTGAAAACACGTCAGTGCGATACTTCCAAATACTGATGATGATATTGAAAGGAAGACGAATCACAAAGTCTACGCGACGAACGAGGCGCCCACTCACCGAACTCGAGCATCGTCTCCAACTTTATATTATCATGAAGCTAGAGTAATATCGAACTATTTCTACTCATATTTAATCCACTCCCATCTGCCACGTGTACTTTTCGATGTATTATCCTTCCTTTCCTACGACACATCTCTTCATCTGATTGTTTGGCTCATTGCAAAATTTTGTGCCGCGTGCTGTTACATTTCCTGCTTTATCTACGCCGCCGAACCCTTACCCACTTTTTGCCGCTCTTGTTGTATTGCCGCGTACTGTTACATTTTCTGATTTATCTACGCCGCTAACTCTTCCCCACTTTTTGCCGCTCTTGTTGTATTGGAGTTTGCTCGACAAACTGCAATATTGGAGCAATTGTGGCGCCACACATCTTTGCAATTGATGCCTTGGCACCAGGATCACAGTTTTTGGTTCTTGCTGCAGTTGGAATAGTTTGTTCGGTTTTGACATGGTTCCAACAGGAGACGAAAGTCTAGAAGATGATAACCTGTTTTATTTGTGTAACATTTCAATTTAATTGATTTTTAATGACCCTAAAACGAGTCTGCCACGTGTACTTTTCGATGTATTAAGATTGTCATTTGTATTGTTTTGACGCTGTCACTGCTCCAATGAATTTCAATTCGTAATTGAAAATATTTAGTTTATTTTGAAGCGCATTATATAACCCAAAATGGAAAAACTCAAACGGTTGGCCTAGTTGAAAACCACCCCTTTCCCTGAGCATCTCGGGAACTGCAATGGACAGTTCAAGTGCTACTCATGGATCATTGGACTTCAATTTGAGATCGGTACCAGATGCTGAAACGACGCTCGGCGTAAAATCTTCCCGTGGAATTTTGAACGTGGCCCTTGTTGTACAGTTTGGCTCTCTCGGAAATTCAGAGAGGAGACACTGCGAACCGAGAAATTGCGAAAACTATTTCGAGACGAACCGAGACAATCCGAAACAAATTTCTCGCAAAACTCGCACGGGTTTCCGCTATTCGCGGGAAATGGAATCTCGCGAGACGACACTTTACACTCAATTAATTGACGCTCGAAGAATAACAAAAAAAAACAGCATTTTATTTCCATTTCTGTAACACTTCAAAGTTTTAAAAAGCAAGAAAGAAGAAAAAAAGATTATTTAAAAAAAACAGCGCCGACATGGGATGCAAACGATTCTCAGTTGATTGGAAACAAATTGAGCACCGCCTCTTGATTAATATGTTTATTTGGAAGAAGGAGAAAAAATCTATTTTATATGGTACAAGAAATGAGAACACAATCAGAAAATGTGACATCTCTGTCCAATCATATACATTTTATATTG